TCCCTGCTGACACCTCTGTCTTGGATTTCTAACCTCCAAAACCATGACAGAATAAAATTCTGTTATTTAAGCCACTTGCTCTATAATACAACAAGGCCGTAAGTGTCTGGGTCACAGATGGTCCATGAGAGCTTGGGTGAAGAAGGACCTCTGAACAGGACATGACTGCAGCTGGGGAGAGTTGGCTCTTCCCTCTTCCTGCCTCCCAGTACCCAGTGCTGAGCAAGACAGAGATGGGCCCAGGTGAAAGCTGTCAGTGAGCTGAGTGGAACTGACATATGCGGAAACAGCTGGAATGTTGTGCCTGCTCCAGACGCCATGGTGAAGCCATTCAGTGTGGACCCTGGAACCAGCCGCCCTGGCTTTGCATCCTGCCTCTAAATTCATGACCTTCAAAAGTCACCAAGCCGCTCCACTTCTATAAAAATCGAGCTGTTGTGAGGCTGGGGGAGCCACTATATGCAGATCCATGGGGGTCCCAGTGGTATTACAAGGAGGTGGAAGCATGCTTAATTAAGCTCAGTTTTGCTAATGATTAAAATTACATCTGAGTCTGTGAGGATTACAGATAGGGCTTCTTCCACATGCGCAGCCCTGGCAGTGGCCTCTTAGAGCAGAGGAGGGGTAGGACACTGGGAAGCAGGTTTGGATGAGCAAGGCAAGCTCTGGGGGCAAGTATAGACAGTGGGGCTCAGGCCACCTGGCCATCCTGGGGCTCAGGAGGGTAAATGGTCTTGGAGAAGAGCAGAGACTAAGTGATCATCTTCGAGTCAGAATGTTGCAGCAGGCATGATGGTGGTAACATCTCAGTCTCCTAGAGCAGAAGGCCACGTGTGGTTTTCAGTGAGGAGCTCAGAACTTGGCATCCACATGCAGCTTCTGCTGTGTGTGTCGTTAGACAAGAAGACAAGGTCAAAGGAGGTGTAGAGCCCACTCTTTTAGGACAGACTCTGTCCCTTGTGCTGGGGGTTTGGAGTGGGATACTGTGTCCTGGAACGACCTTGCCAAGAGTAGTCTGAAAGAGTTATTTCACAGAGAATTAGAAAAATGAAGAGAAGGGGATCGGGTGTGGTGGACTAACCAATGTTAACCAAGCTGAACTGAATCAGTGTGGGGCTGGGTGTGAATCCCACCTGAGGATTGTTGCCAACAACATAGAAGGAAAACTGGAGGGCAGACGTGTGTTGGTGATTCTCCTGGCAGAGCTTGCCATGCTGGTTTCCCTGAGATGAGCTCACTGTTCTCATCCTTGGAGGAGCTTGGGGCCTCGCTGTCACTGAGCATGGCTGTGGTTCTTTTCAGGGCAGTGTTTGTCTTTACCTTGAGCCTTGCTTCCTGGCTGCGGTGCAGGTCACTCAGCCCGCTGGCACAGGTCCTTCATCCCGCTGATGTAGACTGTTTAGCTTCTACCACTGACCTCTGCGCCTTCCCAGTGCAGATCCGTGGTACAGACTTGTGTGAGGCATTGCTGTGGGATCCAGGCCTCACACTGCCGTGGGATCTGCGCCCTCAGCTGGATTCTTTGGGTCTCTAGTGCATGGACAGACCTCTTGCATTCTTTTGCATTTGACTTTTTGGGTGAATATTATAAAATAATCCTATGAGTGATGTGTCCTGTGTTAAATCTACCCCTTTGTGAACCATGACTACAAGGGACCTCTCCAGAATTGGATGCAGCTGGCCAGTGAGGCCCCTTAGAACCGAGTGCAGCGCTGGGGTGGTCACTAGGCCTGTGCTGTGCTGAAGGCTGCGTGTTCTTGCTGCCATCTGCTCTAGCCCGGACATTCCCTTTCACTCAGACTCTGACCCAGCGTTGGAGCTATCCCCAGTGTCGATGTTCTCACCCTGTGTCTGGCTTCTGGCCTTCTGGCTGTCAGTGCTGCAGTCACCATTTGGGGCCCGGAATGGTCAGCTGACATCAGGGTGTGACGTTCTACCTGCCTGATGTCTGTGAACCAGACACTATGACAGTATCCCTGGAGGTGAAGAACACTCAGCCCCGCAACATTTTTGTGGGTACTGTTAGAAAACTCTCAGGCTTTTACCTGTTTTCTTCTTCCTAGAAGATCATTTACTTTTATTTTTGCTTCATGTTCATCTCTTCTTGTCTTAAATTGATCTCATTTTTATCATTACCAACAGAACATTTAGTGGAGGCAGGGATTGTATCTTTTTATTAGTTTCAGTTCAAGGCCTAGTAGAGAATTAAATTCCATGAAAGTCTTTTACACTCTCATTAGTCTGTCCATCCCTGTCTCCCTCCCTCCCTTCAGTCTTCTGTCGGTCTACCTATAGACCCTTCTACCTTTCCACCCATCCATTTATACCCATCTGACCATTCACTTGTATGTTCTTTGAGGGAAGCAAGGTCATGCTGCCCATATTCTGCTCAGGCTGGTGTTGTTCACACACGCACGCACGCATGTAAGCACGCACGTACACACGCCGGATGCAGAGGAGCAGGACCTGTCCAATTGCGGGGGAAGAGTGGGATGAAAACATTAGTCCTCTACATTTCCAGTTGCCTAGCTTCAAAACTTCCCAGAAGCGACCACCAGAGGGCGGCAAACACCAATGGCAATTTATGTTTCCTTGACATTTGCCCATTTTACTATGAGTCAGAAGAGCTTGGGGTTTTGCTGTAGTCATCATTTTGCTCAGCTTATCAGCTGTGAGTGCCAATTTTTATTTTTAAAAAAGTGGCTATTGTGAGAACAGCAGTGCCTCAGCTGAGTAACTGGCTGAAGACTAACATTGTACATAAGATGTAGAGTTAGTTTAATAGCACTTTGGGGGCATAAATTGATATATAATTGTCATTAAAAATAAGATATGAAAATGGTTAAGTATTTTTATAGTTTTTCTAAGGCTGTTGTTTTCATTTTTTTATTTTTTTAATTTTTATTATTATTTTTTTTTTTATGGAACCAGGGATTGAACTCAGGCCCTTGCGCTTGCCAGGCAAGTGCTTATTCTACTGAGCCAACTCTCTGGCCCTGTTGTTTTCATTTTTAACAATCAAAATGTGTACATTTGTCTTTTGAAAGATACATCTACTGCCACTTTTTCCAAAAGGAAGGTGCTAAAGATAAGGACAACCAGAGAAAAGCAGCACTGGACACGTGTACGGACATGTGCTGAATGCCTGCTCTTCACACAGAGGGCCGTGCCAGGGGTGACAGAGAAGATCAGAACAGGTGCATGCCCTCCAGAGCTAGAGGCAGGGTCCAGCTGGCTGTAAACCATAGCACCGTGACGAAGGCCCCAAGATGGCATGGGTAGGAGGCCAAGGTGGTGGTGGGTGCCGAGGAGAGCTGGTCGCAAAGGGAAGGTGTGGAGTTTGGTTGGAAAGACCTCAGGGGTCAGAGCTGAAAGTGTATCCTTGCTTTCCCCAGTGCTGGGATGGAACCCAGGGCCACCTCATGCAAAGGACATCTTGGGCTCTGGGCTCTGACCCCAGCCCCAATGTATGTCTTTCAGAGAAACATCTCTAAGTGAGGCATGTGAGTCTCCGGCAGCACGACCTAGAGTTGGCATCCTGCCCTTCCCCATTGTGTAGAGTATCCAGGTCATGTTCACAGATGGACAACCTAGGAACACATGGCAGAGCTGGAGGTGTGTGTGTGTGTGTGTGTGTGTGTGTGTGTGAGTGTGTGTGTGTGTTTGAAGGAGGGGAAAGTCCTCAAGCATTCCTTCCCATCCAGTGCGGCCCATGATTGTTAGATGTGGTGACTGGGACGATGTTTCAAGGTGCAGGGGTCCATTTAATCGAGACCTCAGAGGCTGAGCAGGAGCCTTGGGATGTGGCTGTGGCTGATGTAAAGGAGGCTGTGGCACTGCCACAAGTGTAGGCTGCTTCTGAGGGCTCCTCACCTGGGTGTGTGTTGAGAGGTAGCTGGTTGGCCTTCCTCAGCTTCAGCAACCTGCTCAACTGGGACAGGTAGAAAAGGCACCCTAGCTGTAGCCATGAAGGGCTCCATGGCTCTGTGGAGGCCCAGAAGGTCAGGTGTGACTGGCTGATTGCTTGTCATTCTTAGGAGCTTGACTGCCTCAAACTTGGTGTTCCATGTAGGACAGGTATGCATGGAGGCTGGCTGCTTTGCTTTGCTCCACATTTTGTTGCTCCACCCCTAAGTAGCTGGCATTGAGACGGGACCCTAAGAAATAAGCCACAGCAATGCCACTGTTTGAGAACCTCCTGTTAAGGGATAACATTTTGAACATTTTACACATAGTTGCACACGTAATTGCCCTGCAGTCCTATGAGGTGAGTCCTTTTCTGATTCCCCCTTTTCAGACAGGAGACCTGATAAATTGAGAGATGGGGCCTGTCTTCTAATAGCCCAGCCCCTACCATATGCCCAAGCAGCTTCTGTAGCCCGCAAGGGAGAGGCCATGCGGTGTCCCGTGTGCCCTCTGCTCGCTGCTGTTCCTGGACCACTTTGGCACGCCGTTGTGTTTGCTCTGGTTAACCGGACCGAGCCAAAGATTAAAACATTTTGTTCTTCACATTTAGAAAGCTGGAGATTCCACCCAAATCGGGATTTGGCAGATGTTAAATGGTTAGTGGCTGGGCCAGAATCCAGGCCTCCTCCTTCAGGGAGACCTAGCTAGAACCTTATTTATGTTTTAGTGGCACGGCCAACTTTGCCTGATGGCAGCATGTCACTATGGTCCTGGGCATCGGGGTGCTGGGAGCACTGGGGAGGGGAAGGCAGGCAGGTTGGCCCAACCTTTACATTGATGCCCTTTAGGGGGAAGAAGGCCATTTATAATAGATATTTATTGAGTGTGTCCGGTGGACTTTTTAGCTCAATCCAGTGGAATGATTTTGAATATATCTGCCTACTACAGTGAAATTTAATAAGCCAAAAAGTTCACATTTCCTTACAAAAATTTAAAATAGTGAACTAGGCCACTTAAATGGGTCTCCACAAAGCCCTTATAGATGCTAAGAAGTAAAGCACAATGATGGTGTGTGGAATATTTGTGTGTGCTAATTTTTTTTAAACAATCACAATGTTTTTATTTAATAATATACATTGTAAAGGCTCAACCAGAGACTTAATTTAAAAAACAAACAAAACAAAAACACCACAGCTCAAGACACAGTGTCTTACACAGAAATCAAGGATAGGACAGACTAAAGAAGTAAAGACAAGAGAAAAGGCTGGTCAGCTGAGGTCAGGGCTCTTGGCTAGACACTTGCTTTGAATAAGTTTCTTGCAGGTACTTCTTAAAAGCTGTGGGATTTTTCCAGAGCTCCGCAGCATGTGTGTTCAAAGGACTATCGATGTTGGGTTCTCCTAGCAGGCTCTGGATGGATAGTAGGATGGTCCTGACGTTATACAAGGCTGACCACTTGTCCTTGAGGATGTCCAGGCAGATGTTACCCTGGGTGTCCACATTGGGGTGGTAGCAGGGAGTGAGGAACTTCACTGTGGGAGCATTGTAAGGGTAGCCACTGGGGAACTCCAAGGAGAGCTTATACCTCAGGTCTTCATATACTGTGCCAGCTGCTCCATGGATGGTCCCTACCCATTTGAAAAGGTTGTCTGACTCCGGAAAGGCAGAAATTCCTTTGTCACCAGACATCATGAGGGTCATCAGCTCCTGCTGTAACCTCTTGCCCACAGGGCCCCGGGCCGCGCCACCGCTGGGCTCGGCTCCTTTGCGGGCGGCAGTAACGCTAGGGGCGGCGGGGTCGCGGTTTTGGGAGGCCATGAGGACTGGGCCCGCTGAGACGCGAACTCGGAGAACAGCACCAAAAGCCTGTGCTAATTTTTTTGATTTATTAATTTTACACATTTCTACACCTCTGAGTTTAGTGCCCGTGCACAGCATCCCACCCCCATTACCCTTTGCATATTTTTTTCCCTTTGCAACTTTTGACTTTTCCATTATTATTTTTGACTCTTGCAAGGATTTCCAGGTTACATATAAATATCCTGAAATCTCTATTTCCTACCATAACAACTCTATTTCTTGACTCCTTTCCATCCACTCCCCACTTCTTTCTGCTTAACCATTTATTTTTATGTTGTCACGGCTGAAAAATTTAAATATTTTCTTCTGCAACCATCATCTTTTGACTGTATTATTAAGACGAGGTCTGTGTAGAAGAGTATTATACAGTCGAGCCATGAAGGATGTGAAGATACTATTTTTTTTCTCCACGGGTCCAGTGTCCCAACACCTTTACAGTTTGAAGAACAATATTCATGAATGTAATCACTTCTGACATTCTACAGGTAACTGAAAATCATATCCTATCTCTTTTTACTTAGTCTTGTTTTTCTGCAAGTTTTTAAAAACTTCTGCTAGAGTTTCCACTTTTCTTTTTTCTTGTTGTGAGGGAGAAAATAAACCAAAATAGGCCTTCACCACTATTGCAGTATCTTCCATCTCTGGCTCATTTTGTTTGCTGTGTGGAATCTGTGATTCTCCTTGAGGATCTGGTGGTGCCACCTGAGTTCATATTTCGATTTTGATCAATTGCTCTTAAATCTGATGTGTAGTAATTATTGTTTAGGTATTTTTCTTTCTGTTAGATTTATGGAGATAGTTTAACTTTAAAATAATCCCCATTTTCAATTTGTATTCTTCTGGTTTTGTTATAACATACATGCAAGTAATAACTTCTGGAAGTGTGTGTCTGTGGCAATATTTGGACTCCTTGTATGTCTACAGTGTTCTATGCTTTCTCCTCAAATTTGACTGACAGTTTAGCTGAGACTTCCAAGTTGAAAATAACTTTCCCTCTGACTTTGAAGGTGCTGCTCCCTTGTTGGCTTGCCTCAATTCTGCTTATGGAAAGTACTTTGTTTCCCTATAATATAAACATGCATTTTATATCTATAAGCTATTTGTCGTGTGTGTGTGTGAAGTCTGTAAGGATGTAACTGGGTCTGCTTGGCACTCAATAGGCTCTCAACTTTATAACTCACATCTGCTTTCATCTGAGGAATTTTCTTCTAGTAGTTTTTTGATAATATTTTTTTTTTCATTTTTGTTTTTTTCAGAATACTTGGAGGTTGTAATGCTTCATTACCTCTCATTTTTCCTCTTCTATCTCCTTATAGAAATTGTTTTTTAAATTCACTGATTATTTTAATTTGTATAATTTTAACTCATAAGAGTTATTTCTTCTGCTTCTTCCTATGGCAGCATGCGTTAGTTCTCCAGAGGCAATTACTCTGTAATCGCTGTTCAGATATCAGCTGGAGATTGTTTTTAAGAGTTCTGTTCCCCATGTTGTATTTCCTCTAGGGTCAGTTGAGGGAATGGGGAGAGGCCTGGGGAGCCGAGCAACTGAAGCTGTCAATTGTGAGCATTGTGAGGTAGGTGGTGTCATGGAGTTAGAAGCAGAGCACGAGCAAAGGCCACTAAATTTAGCTGAAGCCATTCAGAGAGGAATCCTCCAGAGACCTCGCGCTGAGTTGGAAGGGTGAGAGAGAATTGGCTGGCAAAGTAGGGGACAGATGTTCTCAGTAGAAGGTAGCGTACAGACAGTGAGGAATGAGCCAGGCTGTCCAATTTTGGACAGACAGTGGACAGCAGGCTTAGCTTGGCCTGAGTTTCTATGGCTGCTTAGGAGGTATAGGCGCCAGAATACAGGGAGAGCTCTGGAGGCCATTTGACCTGAGGCATCAAGCATGATAGCAGGTCTGGCCTTGGTGAGCTTGTGGCTTGATGTTGTCTAGGGAGTTAAGGAGGGAATGCCTTCTCCATACCATCATCTGAAGCACAGTATTTCCTTCCACTGACCACTCACTCTAGCCTTTCTCCTGACCCACCTTCCTAGACAGCTATGGAATGACTCCTTTTCCTAAGGCATTTGAGAGCCAGGCTTGGGCTTTCATGGAACCCCCTTGCCCTTCCCCCTTCCTTCCTCCTCAGGAGGCACATGAGTGGATTGGTGCCAGGGATGACCCCTTCTATGAGGAGGTTTCCTAATCTAACACCATCAGGATGGTGAGGACAAATGTGTCTAAGGCTGGCCTCAAGGAAGGTTTATTTGGTGGAGAATAAATCAGTCCAGCTGTAGTGCAGTGGAGATTGGGACATTTGGTGGCATTTAATTATATTAATTATGTATTTAAAAGTGCTAGAGATCCAACCCAGAGCATTGTGTATGTGCCAGGGAAGCACCCAACCACTGAGATACTTCTAGCTCTTTTTTGGTGGTGTTTTAAATGTATAAAGAGCCCTGACATCCTGAACTGAATCTTTTAAAAACAAAACAAACATTTTCCATTTCTTATGTAGGTACCTAGACCTTCATGTGAGTCCTTCGAGACGTGCCCACCCCAGGGCATTTTCAGTCTGGGCAGGTGTGTGCCTGCTTTCCCTTGATTTTATTTCCTGCAGAGCTTGCTTGCTCCTTGGCTGCCCTTACAGAGTGCTCACGGTAAGCCTCCTGGGTCTGACGACATTGTCAGTGTGACTGGAGCGCTATTCTGGGCAGATGACGCAAAGGTCCAGAGATAGTCTCTGTTCTCAAAAGGCGGCTGTGTAATAGGACTAAAGCTTCAGAGAGTAGCCCTGGCCCCAGACTTCCATGGAGCTGGGCTAGGGAGAGTTCTGTCTGAATGGGAGAAACTGATCCTGAAGTCCAGCAGCACGGATTCTGATGCAGTTCCTGAGCAGGCTTTCCCCTGCTCACCTCTGGGCTCTGCATGGCTTAGCGTCTCTGCCTGTGGTTCTGCCTGACTCCTCCTCTCTTCTTCCATGGTTCTCACTCAGTATAGATGTTGTACCCCAGCACACCTCCCCATATTTGTGGTTGCTACTGCCACACAGAGCTCTCCTAGTGCCTTGCTTGTTCCATCTGGGTAGTGATTGTCTGCCTACTTCTCCAGACCCTACCCAAGAGCCAGGATTTACACCATGCCAGGCATGCAGGAGGCCCTCAGGAAGTTATCTGTGGACTGAGGTCAGCCCTGTGGTGAACCCATCACAAGCATCTTTGTTCTACTGAAATTAAGGAGAGAGGGAAGGCGCTGCAGCCACCTACAATGGGCCAGGCTCTCAACACTCTGCACAGGTTCTCATTCAGGGCCCCTGTAGCTGTACCATGATTCTTGTTTTATAGATGGTAGGCAAAGTCTCCAAAATGCAAGGCCGCTTGGTCAGGCACACACTTCACAGAGGACACTGCAGTGTGTACCCAGCCCCATCCTTGAATGACTGGAGGATCCCTACAGAATTCCTCTTGTCAACAGCACCTCATTTGAGGCTGCACTGGAGAAGGTGTGATGGGCATACCTTCTCATCTTGGGTTTCTAGAAACTTCCGTGCTTTTTGCTCTGGTGACTGTGTTTCCTCTGACCTTTCGGCTGTCCTAGAGCATGTGATATTCCTAGAACTTGACCCCATCTATCTCTAAAGTTGTGGACGGAGACTTGAACTTGACTTTGGTTTTCAGGAATATCTCGGGTCAGGTAGTCAGGGCAATGGATGTTAGCTCTGGGGTGATCTGATCGGGTCATGATTTCTTTATTAAGTTTCATCTGGTGATCATGTTGGAGCGAGTAGAATTTTAAAAATATTTGCATATCTCATTTCTTTGTCTAATTAGCATTGTGAGAATAATGTCCCAGTTTTCATGCTTGAATAAATAGCTGTCATGGTGTAAGGCGCTCAGGGGCTGGCTCACCGCGGCGCTCCCCCTGCCTCGTGTTTCCCATCTCAGCCAAGCTTTGCTGCAATCCACCCTTCTGACTTTTCCTTAAAAAGAACTGATCTTGTCAGCCAAATGAGACTCCTGCTCCCAACATAACTTCTCAATTTAGAGGACATTTTGGTCGGAGCTGCAGGCACGATTCTGAACATTAAATCACCAGAGGTACTTAGTACAAAAAGTATACTATCTGCTTGTCCTCCATTTTAAAAGTAAATACAATAAAAAAGGGAAGGCATTGGGCTGAAGTATGGCTTTTCTCACACATGACCCCCTTTTTACATCTGACCTTATGGAGCCTCTCGTTTATTCATCACAGCTGGACCAAAGGCATCCCCGGCGTGTAAGTGGCCAGGTGTCTCCTCTGTAAATGAAACATCAGCCCATCATCTGGGGATTTGATGGGATCACATGGGCTCTTACATTTGGTGAGGTGTTGGTTATTTTCTGATGTCACCTGGGTCTGAACCCAGAGCTGTATGGGGCCACAACCGGTGCATTTTCAACTAAGAGGAGGTTATTAGAATAAGAGCGTGAATTCTGGTGAGGCTCAGAAATGGAGGTTTAGAAGGAGGGGTGATCCAATCACATCAGAATTAAGAGGGAAAGGGAAAACAGAGAAGGAGAGATGAATGCTACCAGGGAGAGGGCAGTTGACTGAAGGGAAGGCCACAGGGAGACACAAGATGTGAGATTAAACACAGGTGAAGGTTGAGCCTGAAACCGAAGCAATATTTCTTCTGTAGAGGCTGTACAGTGAGAAGTCTGAGGAGTGGAGGGGCTGGGAGGAATTTTCAAGCAGGGTTAAGAATGTTGAGAATGTGGTAGCAGATGACTTCTGTGCTGGAGCACAGAAGCACAGCCAAAGTTTGAGGAAGGGCAGCTGTAGCAGGTGTAGAAACCTCGAAGGAGGAGGCTTGATCTAGCTTTACTGAACTTTTCATTGCGGTAACAAAATACCTGAGAAAATCAACTGTGGAAAGATTTATTTTGGCTCACAGTTTTAGTTTCCGGTCCATAGCCAATTGGCTCCACTGATTGGGCCTGTGATGAGGCAGAACATCATGGTGGAAAGTG